ATGTCCCCAATTTGTCACCTCTTCAAACCATCTTCACCATACTCCTCCGACCTCTTTCGTTTTTCCTGTGGCTCTGGACACCACCTCTGGCAAGATCACTTCATTCTCCGTATGGCTACCGTACACTTCAGACTCAGGAGACTACACATTACATCCTCTGACCCCCCTGTTTGCACTGATGATACCATCATTAATATTGCCAGTCTCTTGCCGAAACCGGTTTGGCTCAGTGGATAGAGCGTTGGCATATGGACTGAAAGGTCCCAGGTTCGATTCCGGTCAAGGGCATGTACGTTGGTTGCGGGCACATCCCCAGTAGGGGGTGCGCAAGAGGCAGCTGATCGATGATTCTCTCTCATCGATATTTCTAACTCTCTATCCCTCTCCCTTCCTCTCTGTAAAAAATCAATAAAATATATTTTAAAAAATACTGCCAGGCTCTGAGGCTACAGTTCTATGGGTCACCTTCGATTCCTTTCTCTCCCTCAGTAACAGCACCTACCTCAGAGTTTCTGGGAGGTTAAAATGAGAGAACGCAAGTAAATCATTCCGCACACAGGGCCTGAGACAGAGTAAGTGCTCCCTCATGCAACTATGATGAATGAATATCTTATGGCTCATAATGAATCAGTACGTAGTCAATGCCCATGACTCCCTCTTTGTGTCTTTCAAAATCACCCATCCAACATCTATCCTTCCATCCCCCCTGCCATCTCCTCATCAAGGCCCTAAACTTCCCATCTGGACCAGAGATAGAAACTCAAAGCCAGTCTCCCCTCCCACTTCCCAATCCATCTGAGATAGAAGGTCTGGATGGTGTTGCTCAGAAATGTCAGCGCTCTGCTGTTGGTTCCCTTGGAGACCAAGCCTTTTCTGCCCAGTGTCACCCTACACTCCCAGCCCTGTCTCCAGCATCCATGTTCCAACCAGACTGGTTAGTCAATCTCTGAAAAAGTCTCTGCCTCTCTCACGTCCATGCCCTGGTGGATATCATTCTCTCAGTCTGGGAAGTCCCCTTGTCCAAATGAAAATCCTCGTCTTTCAAGTTCTCTTCCTTCATGAAGCCATGGTTTGTGTTTCTGTCTTGTAACTCCCTCTCACAGACCTTACCTGGCATAGTTGGTTTCTTACTCGTGTTTCTTTTCCTCCCTGAAGGACCTCATCCAGTGCTTCATACACGTAGAAAACTCTATACATCAGTGGTCGGCAAACTCATTAGTCAACAGAGCCAAATATCAACAGTACAACGATTGAAATTTCTTTTGAGAGCCGAAAACCAACTTCTGTGCATGGGCCACGAATTTTCAATCGCAGTGTACGTGCATGCCCGTATTTTGTGGAAGAGCCACACTCAAGAGGCCAAAGAGCCGCATGTGGCTCTCGATCCATGGTTTGCCGACCACTGCCATACAGATGTGCTGACTAAAATTGACCACCTTTCTCCCTTTAAGGGGAGAAGCCCTTCTCTCGTTTTTGAGGTCAGTGCTCTGACTAGGCATATGTCCTGCAAGGGATCACTTTAGTCCAATCTTCACCCTGTCTAACCCCTCACATACCCTAACTAGCATTTTCCCAACAGCCATGTGCCACTTAACAATGTTGATAGAGTCCGAGGAATTTGTTGTTGGGTGATTTCATCATTGTGTGAATACCACACAGTGCACTTACACAAACCTAGATGCTACAGCCTACACACTCAGTCCATGAGGGGTAGCTCACTGGTCCCAAGCTACAAGCCTGTACAGCAGGTTACTGTACAAAACAACACAAGATTAAATCAAGTGCAAGAGAAAATGATGCAATCAAGAGGCCATTGGGAAATACCAGGTAGATGAGGCATAATAGGACAGACTGTTTTACAGCAAACTTTTTTTTTTAGAGTAGAAAGACTCAACTCTAAAATAACAACAAATAGTACAGCAAATACCTAAATCAGTAACGGTCACTTATCTTTCTTATCAAGTAGCGTGCACGTAATTGTATGTGCTATACTTTCATGCGACTGGCAATACAGTATGTATGTTTATATCAGCAGCACCATAAGCACAGGGTAATGCGTTGCCCTACAATGTTGATAGCTACAGCATTACTAGGCTGTAGGAATTTTTTAGCTCCATTATAATCTTATGGGGCCACACTCCTATACACGGTCCATCAATGACTGAAATATGGTTGTTGAGTGGCATGTGCCTAACATAACGCTATGCACTTCCTCATTCTGCCTTTGTTACCTTCCCCACCCCCAAGCCCTACCTGTCCCAGCCTGTGTCCTTATTTCCTGAGATTGAACTGATCTTGTGTACAGTGTGGTGCTCATGGACTTAAACCCTAGAGGGAATCACTCTTCTTCAAGAACTGATCTGTATCGGGGAACCCAAGCCCTGCAGAGAAAAGTGCCCTGAAAACGCACTGATAAGCAGGTAGAAGCAGAGTGCCATGGGTGCACAGATCGCACTGCATTGCAGGATGCAGTGTGGAAGTTCAAGCGAGGCGTGTGGATTAAAATGCATGAGCTTACCATAGCTTTCCCGAGGAGATAGCACACTTAACGGTCACTGGTGGAGCACTGCATAAGAAAATGGGCATTCCGTGTGGACCTAAGGGAGCCTTTGGAAGTGTTGTGTGTTTTTTAAAAATTACTATTATTCTTTTCATTAGGCAAGATGAAGTCATCCTAAGGTCACGTTGCTGGCATAAAGAAGATGCACGTTATATGTCAGCAACTACAGTATAATGCGTTTGTTTTGGGTGAGCCAGCAAAACACTTGAGAACAGTTTTTTCTGCAGAAAGACCGAATTAACCCTTCAATTGCTGTTCCTTGCCACGGAACCACCCATCTCGTCACACTAGCAAGGAGCCCTTGCTTCTTGCAGCTGCGTTCTTCAGCCTGTTCTTTTCTTTTCTTTTCTTTTCTTTTTTAAATATATTTTATTGATTTTTCACAGAGAGGAAGAGAGAGGGATAGAGAGTTAGAAACATCGATGAGAGAGGATCATCGATCAGCAGCCTCTTGCACACCCTCTACTGGAGATGTGCCCACAACCAAGGTACATGCCCTTGACCGGAATCGAACCTGGGACCTTTCAGTCCGCAGGCTGACGCTCTATCCACTGAGCCAAACCGGTTTCGGCTTCAGCCTGTTCTTGCATTAAGAATAAATTAGGCAAAGAGAAGAAAACAAAGTGGAAAGAAAGGTGAGTGCTCCCCATGTAATCATTCCTGTCAGGTGGGTATCCCCACTGGGGCCTCCCAGAGGGAGAAGCCAGCCTGAATCATGGGAACCCGGAACTCCTCAAACACTCGGGTTTGCCCTGTCACGTTGTGTCTGAATTGCATGCATGCACCAGTTGATACCATGGACGTCTCCAGCACAGGCCCCTCTGAGCCTCCCTGCCTCCTGGAGGGGTGTTGGTAAACGAACGGGCTGGGCCCTTCCGCTGTGCGGGATGCTGATGGAGCCTAACCACTTTATCTTTCACGTTTGGTCAAGTGGTTTTCCCTCACTTTGAAAAGGATCATTGGGCTGGACCCGCAGTGCTCTGAGAGGGCGTTGTGGCAGAGTGGAAATGCAGAGTGGAGCCAGACAGCTCTGATTCCAACCCCATCCTTTCCAGCTGTGGGCTTTGCATTTGCTTACTTCTATAAAATGGGGATGATTTCCCTCGTATGGGGTTGCTTGGCACAGGGTAGGTACTTAAGGAATGTTAGTACCTTACCCCAAATTCTATTCAAACTCAGGAGAAATCTGAGACGTTGGAGCACGAGGAAGTATCCTCCCTGTCCCTTCCACGTCCTGCTTCCTTCTTTCACAGAAGCCAAACCTAAAACACCTGTCTTCTCCCTCTCTCTCCTCCACCCACGTCCTCACCGTCGGAGCCCAGCTGGGTCAAGCCAGATCCCATCCCGGGCAGGGCGCTGGAACCAGCCTTCCTTTCTCAGCCCGGTGGGGACCCTGATTGGAATTACAATGCACTGTCCCCCGGGGAGGCCTGGAGCGGGAAGGAGGCGGCAGGTGTTTTTCCGGGTCTTCTTCCTGTTCCATTTCGCCGCATTCCTCCCACCCGGGCAGGAGGGAGGTTTGAGCCAACACCGCTGGCGGCCTGAGACACACCCAGGTCAAGGTGTGAGCCCGCAGTAGGGAGCAAAGGGGAGGGAAGAGCAGGGACTGACTGGGCCTTAGGCGGCCTGAGCCCGGTGAAAGGTGAAGATTTTCAGCCGGATGACTACCTGGAACCCTGTTCTATCTCTGCAAATGAGTCACTGGAGGGTGATGGTGTAAGCGCAGGTGTAATGTTGGCCCGCGGAAGACCCGGCCTGGAGGAACAGCTATCTTCAATCCAACCCCTGCATTCCACGCCGCCGAGAAAAGGAAGATGCAGAGATTCAGCAAGTTGCCTGAGGCCGCGAATCAGCCCGGGGTCTGAGCTGGACCCGGACCCGGACCCGGACCCGCCGTCGGGATTTCCAGCCTGGCTCCGTCTGGCGCCACCTTCCTCCCAAGGAAACAGTATAACTGATCATCAAGGTGCTCCGTCTGGGATCCTGACCTCTTCATTCTGCTCGCGACCCCCAGTTTTCTGGTTCGGGGGGGGGGTGGGGGGGGAGGCCTCCAGAGCTGGTGCTGCACCTTCCCGGCCCTCCGCACCTCCCGGAGCAGAACTGGCCGGAGGGGGGCGCCTCTGCATACCTCGTGGAAAGCTGCAAACCGCGCCGAGCTGTGGATGGGGAGGGGGACCCAGGGGGCTCGGCTCGGGGTCAGAAGGCGCCAGGTCCCGGGCCGGGGCGGAGCCGGGGGCGGCGCGGGGCGGGGCGGAGCGGCCGGGGGCGGGGCCTGGCGCGGGGAGCCGGAGGCAGCGCCGCGGAGGGAGCCAGCCGGCGGCGCGCGGGGCTGAGCGGGGACCCGGGGCGGCGGGAGCCGGAGGCGCGGCTGCTGCCCGGCGATCGGCGTCACCGGCGGCGGAGGCGGCGGAGGGGGCGGAGGGGCGGAGGGGCGGAGGGGCGGAGGGGCGGGGCCGGCTCGCAGCTGCCACCCCGCGGGCCGCCCCGGGCCGGGCAGACGGCAGCCGCCCGCCGCCGGGCACGCACCGCGCGCTCTCCCCGAACAATGCTCCGCGGCGCCCGGCCGGGCGGCTGGCGGCTCGGCGACCGACGGCGAGGCCGGGGCAGCGCGGCCGCGAGGTGAGCCTGCGACGCGCCCTGCACACTCGGCCCCTTTTTGTCAGGCGGCCGGGGCCGCGGGGGAGCCGCGGGGAGCCCCGGGATCGCGGGGATCGCGGGCGGGAGGGCGACCCCCTGCCGGCGCCGCCGGGGTGACAGGCGGCCGCGGGAGGCGGGTGGAGCGGCGGCACGGCCCGCGTGCGCCCGCGGCGGAGGCGCCCAGCCCGGAGCGCACGGGAGCCGCAGGGGGGGGTTTCGATCCATCGGATCGTCGCGTTCTGGGAAACGGGGAAACTTTTCCTTGGAGTTCCGGGCGGGGAAGCGGATTCTCCTGCGGGTCCCGCTGGTGCTCGGGTTGGGGCCAGACCGGGGAGCTGTGTATTTCCCTCCGGTAGAGTAGCCAGCACAGAGCTTGGGGACGGCTCCTGTGGAGACCGCCTTTGCATCCCAGCAGCATGGGCAAGGGAGTGGGGAGCGAGAGGCCGCTCAGATGGTGATGGTTTGGGGCGCCAGGGCCGGAGCGGCACCGGGGTGCATGCAGTGCCAGAGGGACTGAGTGATGCCTCCCTCTTTGCTGAGCTACGGCGGAGCCCTCTGAAAGGCATGCCCTTCGTCTCTGCTGCCCCTTCCCCAGCCGGGACATGCCACCCACCACCCCCCCCACCCCACCCCACACCACACCACACCACACACAGGGTCCTCGCCACTTTCAGGTCCTGCGAATGGATGAGGATGGAGGCAGGGCCAGCTAACCGGGGAGCTGTGCATTTCCCTCCAGTAGAGTAGCCAGCACAGAGCTGTGCAGAGCCTATGGGAGAGCCAAGCCCGATCATCTAGAGGCCAGGAGGTTTGCGATAAGTCAGGTCCGGAGTCAGGTCCCCGAGGCCTTATTGATCTCAGCCTGAACTGATGAGGATAGCATCCCCTTCCCTCTCTGAAAGCTGAGTTTGGACTCGGAGCCCCGGAGAATTCTGCAGTTGCTTTCTTATCCTGGGGTCTTGTGCAACTCCGTGTCCTTCTTACCGGTGGGGACCGCAGTGGGTCTCACCCAGAGCGCCTTGCTACTGCTGAGATTGGATTGTTGGCATTGGAGAAGGGAAAAATAAAATAAAAAGTTAGGTGACTATCATAACTTAGCTAGCGTGTGTGTGTGTGTGTGTGTGTGTGTGTGTGAAGATTGTCACTCTCTCCTCTCTGCCGGGGCAGCCTTTGCCAATGGATTATTGAAATCCAGAACCTCTTTCATACATACTTTTATTTTCCATCGCTGCCTTCATTTAATTGTAATATATGTATATTTTTTTTAGATGAGTGTTTTCTGGTAATCTGTCATTTCAGGGTAGGGCATAGACAACTTTTGATGCAAGTATGAGGGGCGATATTTTGAGCCAAACTATTTAATTGGATGGCTCTGGATCTGGCCAGCATTCTCTGTCGTCTTTTGGAAAGGAGGTGGGGATGCATCTGACAGCTCCGGTCTTCAAAGAGCAGCCTCGCAGCCAGTGCACACGTTTGCCGAGGCAAAGGCATTTTATCGTGACTTGGATCAGAAAGCATGCTGAGATCTCTCTCTAGCCTCACGCTGCTGCCTCCCACAGCAATGGGGGAATTTGCATACTTCTGGGGGCCGCCTTCCCTCAGAGGTAAGGAATGTGGGCTGGGAAGGTGCCATCGCCGTTCCCAGGCAGCGGAGAGCGAGCCAGGAGGGGAGGCGAGGGGCGGCTCCCCCTGTGTGAGTGCCACTTGAGTTGTTCACCGTCTTTTACTTAAAACAAGCCGAGATCCTTTGAGGCCCTCTCCAGACAGACATAACTGACAAAGAACCCTTCCCAGCTGGACAGGGCGGTAAAGTCGCTTGCTGGGACGGAGAAACCAGTTTTAAGAGGATGCAGCGCGTCAGTGATGGGGAGAAGCTGGGGCTTGGTTAACCTTTGTGTCTCTGAGCAGTCGGTCCTGTGGGTGAAAGTTGTGCCCGTTGCCGGAGAATCACAGAGTCTCGGGTGGGAGAGAGAGAGTGCCCGGAACTGGGGGGTCTGAAGGGAACTCCCCTGGTGATGGTAATGGGGGGGACCCCCCCTCCACCCACAGCAGCAGGCAACCTTGACAAGTGTGTGCGGAAACTGCTTCTTTGTGGCTCTGTGGTCGTTTTTGGAAAGCAGTTAGATGACCAGCCCCTCAGGGAGCCCAGCCTCAGGGGAGGCTGCTGGGCTGTGAGGAGCCCACAGGGAACTGGTTTCCAAGCTCTCTTCCTCCCTCCCACCCAGGGACTCCAGAGCCTCTGCCTGGGGTTCAATGGTGGTGGGGGGGGGGGGAGGGGGAGGCTGTGCCTGCCCCTGCTGTGGCTGGGAAAGTAGCCCCTTCCCCCCCACCCTTCTAGAAATTAGCAGCAGAGATTGTAGGAGAGAAAAATCCTTGCTATCCTTGCTGTCCTCTCTGTTTGTTGAGGCTTAGTGACCTCTTCTGGGCAAGTTGGCAAGGGGTGAACCGCTGCTGGGGCGTCCTCAGGGAGAGGAGCCCAGCCCGAAAGGGAGTCGGTACTCAAAACAAACATGTGTATTTTATCCGGAGCATTCCTTTAGCTGAGAGACGAGGGGCTTCCAGGTGAACTCTGGAGGGGAAGGAGGCAAGCTTGGCGTCAGCACCTGTTGAACCAGCACGCCCGCCTGGGAGTGTGGGAGATCAGACAGATAGCGCTTCCCACACGGAGGTGCTGGGATGATCCCTGGGACACCTGGCTCATTCCACTGAGAGAGCATCAGCCTCAAAGCCGGCTCTCGTGGGAAGAAAGTGGAGAGAGCAAACCTGAGGGCAGAACCCTTCTGTTCCATGGGAATCTGCTCCCTTTAGACTCTCGAGGATTATTTTCTCAGGAACCTTCCTTACGAGGAAGACGGTTTCTTTAAATGAGGGGAAGGGAGCTTTCCGTCTGACCCAGCCATTTCAGCTGTTTTCATCTCCTGGCGCACATAAACTAATTACTAAAATTCTGCGGCACGCCGAGAAGTGCATTATTTGCCTATCTGCCAAAAAAAAAAAAAAGGAGGTATAATTTTGATTCATTCACACCGATGGCTATTGTTGTGTTGGCTGTTGTCATTTTTTATTTGACCGTCGAAGGGAAGAGAGGACAATGCCCTGACTAAAAAGGCAGGTATTTCATGTTTTAGAAACTCCGGTGGCCGAGACCTGTTTGGCTCAGTGGATAGAGCTTCGGCCTGAGGACTGAAAGATCCCGGGTTCGATTCCGGTCACGGGCATGTACCTTGGTTGCGGGCACATCCCGGTAGGGGGTGTGCAAGAGGCAGCTGATCGATGATTCTCTCTCATCAACGTTTCTGACTCTCTATCCCTCTCTCTTCCTCTCTGTGAAAAATCAATAAAATATATATAAAAGAAAGAAAGAAAGAAAGAAAGAAAGAAAGAAAGAAAGAAAGAAAGAAAGAAAGAAAGAGAAAGAAAGAAACTCCGGTGGCAGGCCGGTGGGACATCCCCGGCCTCACCGATGCCGTGGCTTGGGGCCTCTGCCAGCGAAGTTCTTCTCTTCCCAGAGCCACCACACTGTTTGTCTAGGCGCAGGTCTTCGTGTATGCGGTTGCCATTGTTTTTCCGTCTATGGAAGGGCAGAAAGCTACCTGACTCAGGTTAATGGGTCACCATCTGCAGCCCATGGGGCTCCTCCTCAGTGTGAGCTCTCTGCTTTCAGTTTTACTCTCCGAGGCAACCAACTCAGCGCGCTGGGCTACCATGGGGAAATTACCGTGTGACCCTCTCCTCCCTCCCCTGGGCCCGTCCTGCCACCCCTAGCCCACAGGTGCTTATGCGTTTCTGTCCGTCCTCCCCTTGGCCTGCAGCGTCAGCCTGGCTGACCTCGCTGAGCGCAGGGGTGGGGGGAGGTAAATTCCCAGGATGCCAGACCTCCTGACCGGGGTCCCCTGTAGGGGCAGGCAGGCACCACAGCCCTCCCCCTTCGCACCCCCTCCATCTCTGCCTGGTCTCAAGGCAGGAGAGCCTGATCTCAGGGCCCAGACTCGCCTCCCCGCTCACATAGCTCTTGGTTAAAGCTCGTGGCTTCTGCCCTGGAAGCCACCGGTTTTATGGGCTGTGCTGCTGCTTCGCTCTTGTTCCTCTGGGGCGGAGGCCCGGCTCTGCACCCCTCGCGTCCCGGAATGCAGGGATGAGATAACAGGCTCCTCCTCCAGGGATTTCTGCTTAACTGCCCCCAGCCTCCAGGTGCTCCGGATTCTCAGGGACTGGAACGTCACTGTGCTCTCTGCGTCTAGTTTTTACAGCTTCTGATAAGGCCACACCACGAGAGAGTGACTAAGAGCCTGATGAGAAGCGGGCGAGGGCCTGGGAATACATGGGAGACTAATGATGAGCTTTGTTCCTCCCCCCTTTTCCCCTTCCTTCCCCTCCTCTCCCCCCATCCAGGAGTCAGACCCTCAGGGACAAGGCGCCTGTCCTCCGGCGGGAAGGGCTTTGATCAGACCCGTGTTCTTCCCTTCCAGGAAGCCGCTCTGTGACCCACGTCTGCCTCCCGCACGACCGCGCCGGAGCGCCCGGTGCAGGATGAGCCAGCCGCGCCGCGCCCGCCCACGATGCACCAGACCGTCCGACTGAGCCCCGACCGCCCGAAGATGTCCGCGTGCAGCGACTTCGTGGAGCACATCTGGAAGCCCGGGTCCTGCAAGAACTGCTTCTGCCTGCGGGGCGACCACCAGCTGTCGCCCCCCTGCCCCCAGCCGCGAGCGGGCGGCCTGCCCCCTCCTCCCCGCCTGCCCCCCAGGCCGGAGCACGGCCGCCCGGAAGATGAGGGAGTGAGCAGCTCGCCCTACTCCAAGCCCACCATCGCCGTGAAGCCCACCATGCTGAGCTCCGATGCCGCGGACCTGTGGACGGAGGCGGCGAGCCTGAGCCCCGACGCCTCGCAGGTGAGCCTGACTCACCCCTGCGGCATCTGCACCGGGGCTGCTCCTGCGGTCACGCTTGCTGACTGGCCGGCAGCCAGGAGGGGCTGTTAGGGCAGGATTCCCGCAGGACGGCTGCCCGTTGGCTTGTCCCAAGGCCGCTCCTTCCTGGCCGCTCCCTCCTTCCCATCTGTTTCTTTTTTCTTTTTCTTTTTAAATGGAGATTTAGAAAGCTTAGAAACTTTTATTTATTTATTTTTGTTTTATTATTATTTTTTAAATATATGTTATTGATTTTTTTTTTTTTTTTTTTTTTTTTTTTTACAGAGAGGAAAGGAGAGGGATAGAGAGTTAGAAACATCGATGAGAGGGTATCATCCACCAGCTGCCTCTTGCACACCCCCTACTGGGGATGTGCCCGCAACCCAGGTACATGCCCTTGACCGGAATCGAACTCAGGACCTTTCAGTGGTTAGAATCCCCGCCTGTCCAGTCTGTTTCTTTAGGCTAAGGACCGCTAATCCACCCCCTGGACGTTTAGGAGACTGTCTGTCTTCACTAATTATTTGGGTAAATATCAGGGCACGCGAAATGGAGCTTTTTTAAAGAGGTTCTCAATATTTTTTTAACCAATAACTTTATTATTTTTTTAAATATATTTTATTGATTTTTTACAGAGAGGAAGGGAGAGGAATAGAGAGTCAGAAACATTGATGAGAGAGAAACATTGATCAGCTACCTCCTGCACCCCCTCCCCCACTGGGGATGTGCCTGCAACCAAGGTACATGCCCTTGACTGGAATCGAACCCAGGACCTTTCAGTCCACAGGCCGATGCTCTATCTACTGAGCCAAACCGGTTTGGGCTAACTTTATTTATTTATTTATTCATTTATTCATTTTATATTTTTACTGATTTCAGAGAGGAAGAGAGAGGGAGAGAGATAGAAACATCAATGATGAGAGAGAATCCTTGATCGGCTGTCTCCTGAATGTCCCCCTACTGGAGACTGAGCCCACAACTCCAGGCATGTGTCCTTGACTGGAATTAAACCCGGGACCCTTTAGTCCGCAGGCTGGCACTCTATCCACTGAACCAAGCTGGCTAGGGCTTACAGTAACTGATCATCTTAAATGTGTACACAAGGAGAATATTACCTGATAAATTCCACGCATCCACCATGATGTAGCATGTATCAACAATCATCAGCTTACAACCCGTCTCTATCCCTCACCCTCCCTACCCCATGATTTTAAAGCAAATCCAGTCATCACCTCACTTGGGTACATCTTTTTTTTTTTTTAAATGAAGTCTTTTAAGAACTATAACCACAATATACCACTATCACACTTAAAAATATTAGCAGTAACTCCTTAAGATCATCCCATCCCCAGCCAGTGTTCATATTTCCAATTGTGAAGCTTGGGATCACTAAGTAAATCAGTTGCATCTCTTAGAGCACATGTGTCAAACACAAGGCCCGCGGGCCAAATCCGTCCCGCCAGGCCTTGCAATGTAGCCCGCACCGCGCTGTCATCACTGCACTCCGCTGCGTTTCCATCACAATGACAGTTTATGACTGTTCAGTAAACCATTCGGCCCTCGATTTAGGCTGGATTTTAGATTTTGGCCCCTTCTCTGATTGAGTTCGACACCCCTATCTTAGAGAGTAGACCATTCTGCTCATCCCACAGCGAACGCTTGCAAAGGCATAATTACTGAGAGGGCACGGACAGGCCAGCCTGCTCCAGACATGTCTGCGGAGCTGGACGCCAGGGACCTGTCTTAAGAAGTGCTTGTGAACTCTGTGACCTCTTTGCCTGTTTTAGTTTTCCCAAACGGTCATACTGAGGGGACTGAGGGGACCGGGAAGGGTGTGGGAGCTTCTGGGAAGTCAGAGGTCAGAGGTCAGAGGTCAGCCCGGGGAGGGAGGCTTAGTTGCGTAAATACATCTCCTCTGGTGGCACTGAGCTCCCTGTCCCCCAGGGCTGCTCCGTTTCTGGTAAAGCTGGCCGTGTCCGTTCACCAGGTCACCCCTCACGGACGTAAGCCAGGGACCCTTTCTGTCCAGAATGGAAAAGAGCCAGCTACAGGGCCCCATCTGAAGCTGATGCTGAAAGTGGGAGTCCGGGGCGCTTTAGAAGTAGAGGAGGAGGGGACAGTGACGTCGGTGATGAGAGTGACCAGTTCACGTTTCTGTCACCGAGTTCAAGGACTCCAGCCACCTGGGCTGGCCCCGGCTAAGGTCGCTGCCTCTACCTGGCAGCTCCTGGGCACGATTCATCTCAGAAAGCACCCCCTCCCCCTCCTGCCCCGCTCCTGCCCCCTCCCTCACCCAAGATGTTTTAAAAAGCCTTATAGCCGAAACTGGTTGGCTCAGTGGATAGAGCTTCGGCCTGTGGACTGAAGGGTCCCAAGTTCGATTCTGGTCAAGGGCATGTACCTTGGTTGCGGGCACATCCCTGGTAGGGTGTGTGTAAGAGGCAGCTGATTGATGTTTCTCTCTCATTGATGTTTCTAACTCTCTATCCCTCTCCCTTCCTCTCTGTAAAAAATCAATAAAACATATTCAAAAATAAATAAATAATAAAAATAAAAAGTCTTATAACTGGTTTCTTTAGGAATGTCCCATGGCATGGTTATCAAAAGACTCACAAACACAAACATTAAACAAAATCCCAAACTCTCGAGCCCAAAGCATGACAGGCCCAAGTGGGCGGGGCAGCTCCATGCCTGGGCAGACCGGTGGCTGCATCTCCATGAGGTCTAATGTCAGCTTTCCCCCTTGGGGCTGCGCAGGTCTGGAGACGGGCCGCGGGCAAGCTGCCCCTCCCGAAGCAGGACGACATGCCGATGGTCTGCCTGGGCAGCTTCCGAGGCGTCCCGAAGCCCGCCGCCCCCGACGGCCACCCCCGCTGCCCGCCCGTGTACGCCATGGTGGGCCTGCACGGCCCCGCAGACAAGGCCCGGCGAGAGGAAAAGCCCACGTTCCCCCGCCCCGAGCTGCCCGCCGCCCCGGAGAGCTGCCCCCAGAAGCCCACCGCCTGTGGCCCCAGGATGACACCCGGCTGCCCCAAGGACCCCGGGGCCCACCCCGCTCCACAGCCTCCCGGGCCCTCCGAGGAGGACAGCGATCAGAGGCGCTTGCCCTCCGGGGACAGCGAAGGCGGGGAGTATTGCTCCATCCTGGACTGCTGCCCCAGGGGCCCCTCCGCCAAGGACGCCGCCCAGGCCGAGGGGCCCCGGCACAGGCCCGGCGGAGGGGCCCGCTCCCCCGCGTGCTGGGAGCAGGGAGGATGCGTGGGGCCGGCGGAGGCTGTGAAGCAGGCTCTGAGCTTCCCCAGGGAGTGCTGTGGCCAGGGCCCCGCGGAGATCCTGCCCCACCGGGGCCCCAGGAAGCCGTCCCCTCCCTCGGAGGCGGCGGCCAGCTCCTCAGACGGCCTGTCCTGCGGCAGCGCCAGCAGCGGCGCCAGCAGCCCCTGCGCCCCCCATCTGGAAAGTGATTACTGCTCCCTGGTGAAGGAGCCCGTGCCCGGGAGGCAGCAGGACACAGGCTGCCCCGTGGTGACCTCCAGCAGGTGCCTGGGGCCCACCGGGGAGCCCAAGCCCCCCACCCACCCCAGAGAGGCCACGCAGCCAGAACCCATCTATGCCGAGAGCACCAAGAGGAAGAAGGCTCTCCCGGTGCCCTCCAGGCCGCAGGGCAAGGCGGAGCAGCCAGCAGCTGGCCACGGCCAAGGCCACGGCCAGGGCAGGACGGTGAGCACCTGGACTCAGAAAACAGCATCCAGCTGGAGCCGGGACAGGGAAGGCCCCGATGTGGTGGCCCCCAAGGTGGCGGCCACCATCACCATCATGGCGGCCTACCCCAAGGAGGACCACCGGACCATCTACCTGAGCAGCCCGGACTCGGCGGTGGGCGTGCAGTGGCTGGGCCAGCCCGCGAGCCAGGACCCTGGGGCCGGGGGCCCGGAGACCTCAGCCGGGCAGGGGAAGGGCCACCCTCACGATGCCAGCCAGCATGTCCCCAAGGGGAGGCCTGCCATCCCGCCCAAGCTGTCCAGGGGCAGCCCCGGAGGGTCCCCGGTGTCCCCGTCCCCCTCCCCACTGTCCGACCTCAGCGAAGGGAGCTCGGGGGGCAGCACCGGGCCTCTGCCTTCATCATCCCGGTGCCCGGCCGACCCCGCTGCTTCCTGCCGGGCCAACGGCATCGCCAACCACGACTCTGGCAGGTGTCTCCCACCTGCCACCACCACCGCCTTCACGTCGGACCAGAGGCGGCCCCGGCACCAGACTGGGGGGGCCTGGAGCCACCAGTGCCGGATCGAGGAGGAGGAGGAGGGGGAGCAGAGCCTGCTGAGTCACAGCTGGGGAGGAGAGACGCTGGCGAAGGGCATCGGGGACCCCTCCAGCTCCTCCACCTGGCACCACCTCTGCCCCTCGGACGGCGCCACCTCGGGGCCGAACGACAAAGTGGGCACCGGGATGAGCAAATCGGCCTCCTTCGCCTTCGAGTTCCCCAAGGACCGGAATGGGGTAGAGGCCTTCTCGCCGCCTCCGCCACCTCCCAAGTCCAGGTGAGTACAAGCCTCTGACTCACAGGCCAGGCCTGCAGCCCCAGCTGAGCCCCGCCCTCAGGACCAGCGGCTGCCCGGCCCTCCCCTCGTGTCTTATGTAGATTCCTGGGAGCTGTGGCTCAGGCTGTGGGCAGCCAACAGCCTGCAAGCAGCGCCCTGCTGGGGTTGGCTACGTGGAACCCATTTCTCCAACAAGTGCTGTCGCTCTCCCCTGGTGCCCATACTTTTATACTCCGGGACTCTTTTTCGCCCTATCTGTCTGAAGTGTGTAGACTTTTTTATAGGTTTAGTCTCAACTCCTATCTTCTGTAGGCTTCTTGAAGGAAACTCTGAAATTCTCCACTTATTCAGACACGTGAAAGAAGGAGGCTCGGCTCCAGAGTTTGGACATGCAGAGGGGCAGGACCTGTTACCTCAGGGGCCCTGAGGCCTCAAGCCCAAAAGCAGACTAGCAGGACGCTCTGCGCATGCTTCACAGCCCTCAGATGTGGGTTTTTAAAGGGGGGGGGGAAAGTTTCATTTTAGCATGTGAAACTCACCACTTTCTCCACTGTTCCACTGCGGTCTCCTGCCAGTGTAAAGCGCCTTCCAAAGGCCCCAAATATTAATGCCTTTTTAAAGGTATGGGGTTGCTCATGGGATTTACATTTTGGGGGGAAACTTTTTCCCTCTATTAATGGTTCCTATCAGGAAAAGGTGAAACCTGCTGGGGTTTTTTTGTTTGTTTGTTTTGTTTTCAAAAGAAAAAAAAGTTATAGTTTTTCAGAATAGACTATATAGTGAATCTGTTTACAGTGGGTCTGTGTCAGCGTCTGCGCCTCTGGGTCAATGTCAGGAGCAGGGGCTTGACCACAGAGAGACGCAGCTGTGACACTTGCCTTTGAACATCCAGGTATGGAAGGCTGTGAGTCTCTTCTCCAGGACCCCTGCCTTGTTCTGGCATCGCACTGGCCACCTGCCGTTCAAAGGAGCTTTGGTTACAGTTTTAACTCCCTTGGTGAATGAGAGGTTCAGCCGCTAAGAGGAGCTCCCGTGTATAGGATGTTGACTATGCTCTGGGCGTTTGGCACATGAGCTCATTTGATCCCCAGACTAGCCCTAGGAGGTAGGAATCACCGCCCCCATTTACAGATGACAAAACGGGATAGAGGCAGAGTCACCTGCCAAGATGACACAGCTGTGCCTGGCAGTCTGGCTGCCGTCTGTGTTCCTAAACACAGAGGGCACGTCAGCAGGCATGTGGAGCGAGCAGGGCATGAGAGTGAAGCGTGGGCATTGTATCGTTCTGCCTCAGGCCTGGGCAGATGAGTGAGAAGCACAGGCTTTGGCGTCAGGAACCCAGTTCCTATCGCATCTGTCTCACCTGCAGGCTGAGTGATCCTGAACAAGCCACTGGCCACCATGATTGGGCCTCCAGGTTGCTCTTCTCTAAAACAGGATGACAGTAAGAAGAGTTTTATAGCCCCATTTGTTAAAAGGCTCACACGAGAGGAACGGGATCCGATGCGAAGGGTGATTAGTCTGTAGGCAGAAGCTGTTGATGGCAGCAGGGACACCCACACCCCATAGGAACAAGCCTGAAGGCACTAAAATTTTCTCATTTAAGAAGCATGGGCCTGGAAGAAACCCCTGTCGCCATAGCAATGTGTTAGAGAACAAAAATCGAACCGAGTAACGTGAAAGATCTTACTGGCGGGATTCAACAATTCATGAATCAGGGCCGCATCACAGCTAGTAATCAGAAAGATGCTCCCAGGAACTGTATAAAAGAGGAGGGTTTATGGGCAGAAACAGGATGGGATGAGGAAGTTAAAGAGTGGATCGTTTCAGGCGAGGTCACCTTCCCATAAGGGAAGGCAGCGGGTCTTACCGGCAGATGACCTTATGGGGGTTGACTAGAAATCCCAGACTGATTGGGTTAAAATTCTATTCTTGGGAGAGACTACAGTTGCAGTTAGATTAAGTCTTGGTGGGGCTTAGCAAAAATGACTCCATTTGGGGTCTATTGTTTCTTTTTAACAATTCTTTCCTTTTGATCAAATTCTCCGTCTGAGAGATGTGATCAAAAGTTAAGGCATCCGTGCCACTTTCAGTACCGTTCTGTAGCAGTTCATGAAATTTTTATTGATCCTCTTTGTGGTTTTGTTTTTGTTTTGTTTTGTGTTTGTCTGTTTTGTTTTTGTTTTTGTTTTCTTTGCTGAATCTCTCTGGTAATAACGGGTTACAACTTTGGCTCACAGTTTTTTTAGGGTAAATCCTAGCAGACACAATCCACTTCCACGAAGGAAGCATTATGAATGGATTCCTTTGCAGGAATTGTTGCGTTAGCTCATTCAAACCAGGAGTCAGTTAGGTTTTCTCCTAGCCTGCCATAAATATTTTTCTGAATTCCGGAGGTTATCCACCTTAACAAGGGTCTGGCATACAGGTGATGGCATTATCTTTTACTTTGGCCTATGCCAGAGTAAAGAAAAAAAAAAGTGGTTGGGCATCGACCTGTGAACCAAGAGGTCAGGGTTCGATTCCGGTCAGGGCACATGCCTGGGTTTTGGGCTCAATTCCCAGTGTGAGGTGTGCAGGAGGCAACCTATCTATGATTCTCTCTCATCATTGTTGTTTCTCTCTTTCTCTCCCTCTCCCTTCCTCTCTGAAATCAATAAAAATATTTTATTTTTTTAAAAAAAGAAGAAGTAAGGTTTCATGTTTAGCTGAAGTAGGAAGTCTTAGTCTGGCATCTTGGGAAGTAGTGGTCTACATCTCTCAGCTGCTTCTCCTTTTAGTCCAGAATATGGATAAACATTATAGTCATCCTCCTCAGTTCATTCAGTTAATTCTTGCTCTTTTTTAACCCAGCATTTTAAATTTTATTTTACTTAGTTCTGGAAATTTCCACCAAGCTCTGCTCCACAATCTCAGAGTCATCAAGACTGTGCATTTGTCAAAGGTCCCCTCCATGAACCTCCTTGAAGATAAAACACTTTTCAGAAACCTGTTGATAAACCTTCAGAGTAAAACAGTAACTATAAATTGAATATTTGGTGAGAGTTTTTATTATAATAAAATTGACAAGGAAATTTGGTCATTCCTGTAACATGCAACATTTTATAACATTATATCAGATCATACTATTAATAGAATTTAGGAATTTCAGATAATTTCTAGAACACCATATACTTACAACACATACCTTAATACAACAATAAAGAAAGCTTAGTATTACTTCTGATTTGACAATACTTCTTATGTATTTTAACATATCAGTTGAGCCTGATGAGTGTAACATCTCCCTTTTTAGGAGAAGAGAGAAAAACCTTTTGAGATGTTCTAGGAGCCTTTTACGAAATCCCAAGTTAGTTTGAGGTCAAAAAGACTAGATTTGAAATTTGATTTGGGGAAGTTTGTTAAAAATGGCAAAAGGTTTTAAAACTAATAACCCTATTAGTCAAATAGGATCATAGGTTACTGTGAAATAACATTTAGTTATCTATTCAACCAAAGAAACAAAGATTTCACAGGCAAATATAGACAGTTACATAGTTCTGAGCAAAACTTCACTCTTTTAATATCAAACAACTATAATAGGTTTACCAAAACACACATCCTGCTTTCCTTGAATAACGAGTTGTTCCTCTATTTATTTCTAGTAGCTTTAATTAAATATATTAGAATTCGTAACTTCTGAAAACATTTAATTTCTAGTGGAAAGTAAGAAGTAAGCAATTGTGAACTGTCTTTTAATTAGCATTCTATAGATTGTCGGATTTATAAATACTTTTTGTAACTTTCAGAAATGTGCTTTCTCATAGAAAATTTTTCATCGGGGCATAAAATATGTATATTAATAGACCCAAATATCTTTAGTTCCTCTGTAAAAGGCAGCCAAAGTAGAAAAACCTGTGTTTTCAGTATTTTATTTTAATTGGAAATAATCTAGATATTTAATACATTTTCATCATTTTGCTTAATCTTAGCAAAACTTTGAAATTTCAAGTTACCAAAAAAAAAAAGGTAACAATATAAAAATTCCACCTAAAAACTTTTAATCCTACTCAAAATTATGTCATGTACGCGTCCTTAACAATTACGTTTAGATTGCTTATGACAATTTTCAGATGAGTTCTGTTTCTAAGGCGAATGGAGATGACGAATCTCTGGACCCCGTCACGTTCACGCAGACCTCTGAGCAGGGGGCTGCTTGGTGGCGGACAGCGTTCCTTACACTTCCTTTGCTCCCTCTGCTCTCTGGGCCATTGGGAGAGTACAGAGAATGGGTTTTGCTTTGCCTGCGGTCCTATTTTACAAGACTCTGACTTGGAAGGGGAAAAAAAAATGCATGTTGAGAATGACTTGGCTGTCCTGTGGTCTTGTTTTAACTGTTCGGCAGTCCCTCACCTGTCTGTCTGAGGCCCTGTCTTCTGTAAACTCCCACTAGGATTGCTGAGACACCCCTTGCGGTGATGCCATGTAGGACAAAGGCTCTCAATGCTCATTGGATGCGTTGACAGTGCTTTAACTTCGAAGGTGTTTTTGTTTGTTTGTTTGTTTTATATATTTTATTGATTTTTTTTACAGAGAAGAAGAGAGAGGGATAGAGAGTTAGAAACATCCATGAGAGAGAAACATTGATCAGCTGCCTCTTGCACACCCCCTACTGGGGATGTACCCGCAACCAAGGTACATGCCCTTGACCTGAGTTGAACCTGGAACCCTTAAGTCCTCAGGCCGACACTCCATCCACTGAGCCAAACCGGTTTTGGCTAGCTTCGAAGGTGTTTAAGCATGTGCCCAGCCCTCCTCTGGGGCAGGCAAGGCAGAGTCTGGGTCCTTCTGCACCTGCTGCTCCAAGGCAACCTCCTGCAGACACCAGCTCTTACTTACTTAGCCTGGCAGACCCCTCAAACCCCTCTGGACCACCCCTACTCACATGTAGGGCGGGGTTAGAAGGTCAAGGGTGACAAGTACTGCTGGCTAGAAAACTAGAACCCGCAGGAAAGAAGTGT